ACACACACACACACACCGCCCTGCGTATGTGCGCTCGGATACATTTTTCTCTTGTCAGTTAGTTTTCTGCAAAAATCTCCTCCTAAGAATATTTCTCTGTTTCCAATATCATTAATTTCTTGAATAGTCTTGAAATAAATTCATTTCTATTGGAACCAGGTTGAAATGTGCATATTTTAGGTTTTAGGACTTATACATGCAGACATGAGCACACATGCAGTGCAGTGTATACTGTGGTGTGTGGCTTCGACTGATTGGTTGAAATGGTCTGAATGCAATGGCAGATTTCTCACTTGTTTTAGAAAATAGGATTTTAGGACTTAATTATAAGCTGGACAAGAGTGGAAATAATATATCGATATATATTCACGCTCACTTTACTGGAGCGTTGATTAATAGGGAGTGTATTTCTCTTTCTTTCAAGATAAAGAATGCTTTCTTCCCTTGAACTGTATCAATATGGCCGAGCAGATTTACACATGAACTTTACTGGTGCAAAGAAATGATCGGTTATCAGACGTCTTCATGTCATGCTTCCATCTCTCACTGTCTGCATATTACATACCTGCATGAATTCATCAATTTCAACTTGTCCGTTCTTGTTGAGGTCCACCTCATTAAGGATTTCATGGAGCGCGTTTTCATCAATGTCAACATTGATGCTCTGCAGAGAAGAAAAACAAGAGCAGGGATCAATAACATTATAATGAAGACAAGTGTGTAAATATGAAAGACAGACAGAAAAAAAGAAAACGGATAAAAGACGACTCACTTCCAAAACTTGCTGCACGTCAACAGTGGTGATGAATCCTTTGCTCTCTTTGTCAAACTTGTGGAAACGCTTCTTGTACCTGTCAGACAGACGAACAGTTGGTAACTCACTTCTTTACATTTGATTCTGCGGTGTTTAAGAAGACTTTATCACCAGTAAACAGCTGTGATCATAAATGAAAAACACTGCATATTACAGTACTTTTCTTTAAGTCATGATGAATATATAGATAATAATAGAAATTAGACTTACAGCAGGTTAAATACAAAGACTGACACCACATAACGAGACTTGCACAACTAAAAACTCCAGGAAAAGTCTGAAACTGCAAGATTTTCTGAATTCAATCTTATATTCTTTTACATGGTTTGATCACCAGAGATGGTGAATTATGACGGATTTCTTCCTGTTGGTTCTATCTAAACGTAGGCAGTTTTTATTGCTAACTTATGTACTACAGTAATGACTGAACTCCAGGGCGTAGCTTTGGTTTGAGAAGGAGGGGACAAACATTCACAAATCAAAACTGGTCACAAAACACTTGCTGCACCACTTCCTGCTCAATAAGCCTTTTGTTGTTAGGTAATCAGATGGCGTTTTTCTGAATTATTATCTGAATTAAGGTGGCAGGACAGTCTGAGGACAGATTTTAGTAACAAAAGTCAACCTGAAAAAAGTAAAAACTTCCTGAGATAATAAAAGGTTGTTGTTTTTTTGTATTTTTTTAAACAATTACCTGACTACTTCCTGGTTGTCCAGGTTGATCTCAGTCGTCTTGGTCAGCTGCTCAGAACGAGACCTGTAGCCCATCTCGTGGTACAAGAACTTCTTTGCAGCGTCGAGCTCCGCCTGGATCAAACATTACCAGAAGGAAACAGGAAATCAGCGTCACCTCGACTGTTAAATCACTAGTTTTCTCTTTAATTATATAAAATTCAACACAGAGCATTTCCACTGTAAAGGTTCATATACAAGGTAAAGTAAAGAATTATCACTAGACAATATTTGTTTTAAATATTGGTTGTAGGTTACATTATGTACTATAAAACAAAAATAAAACTGAATCAATACCCACATCTGACCCAGAGTTGTTACTTTAAATTGTCTTGTTATTCTAAATCTTAAATATCTTGTTTTGTTCGACCCAAAACTTTTCTCAGAAAAGTCAAAAAGAAAGTGATAATTACAGCTTATTTTTACAGCCGAGTAACAGATTGGAAATATCTGACTTAGTAAAGTGTAAAAAGCTATTATGAAATAAGTAAAACAAGAAAGAACATTGGTTAAATGTATTCAGCAGATTGGCAGATGTTTTATTCTCCAGTGCTGCTGTAAGACTTCACTTTGCAAGTTAACAATAACAGCTTAAAATAGTCGAGAGTTCAGTTTTCATGCACATGTAACTGCACACATATCACTTCATCTCTTTCATACACAAACAGAGCTTCTCCTCTAAAGGGATAAAGGGTGTGGACCTTTCCATTGTGTACTGAAACACCCAAAAACCAACCAGGGATTAAAGCACGATGTAAAACCGAGCAGGTTTTCTGGGGCAGGGAAAAACATACACAAACCATGAAATAAATGTAAAACTTAAATACTTCGTTTGTATCAGTTTGTGGCAGATTTTCTCCCCGCTCACTTTAGGAAAAAAAGAAACTGTTAAAATCGTACCGTCTTCCGCTCCTGACTCCAGTCCAGCTCTTTCCCCATGATCTGCACGATGCGTGGGAGGGCCTCATCAGCCGCCTGCACGTTCAAGAAGCCCAGGCGTGTTCGTCGGGCGATCACGTCGATGGCTGTGCAGGCGTACTCCTTGATCGCGTACAGCACCTGAGAAAGAAGACATGAGGCTGAACTTGGAGCACGCGAGCCACGAGACTTATAATTGTTTGCACGAAATCCCGCTTTACCTCGGCCTCGATGTAAGGGAACTCGGACACCAGTCTTTTCCCCACGATTGGCCATCTTTGCCCCGTGACCTGAGCCATCTTGGCCACGTCGAACGCCTTTGATCCGTACGTCGACGCCAGGTGCTGAGCGACCTGTGCGCAGAGAAAATTCTCTGATTATAAATGTAACATAGGTAGCAGTATAACCTTTTATTAATTCCATATGTATTCAAAGAAGGAACTGCTTTAAAGTTTATTCAAGCACATTCACTTTTCTGCTTTCGCTTTCTAAAAATCACAGGTTAAACAGTGGAGATCGTAGCGGCCGCTGCCCGTATTCTCATGATCGATTTCACCTCTTCGGAGTTAAGCGCTAAGCGTTAGCGCCACTTTGTCAATGAGGTGTCACATGCTTCCAGAACACAACAGGGCTATTTGCTATTCAGATCGTTGGCTTGCCGATCATGTGAAAGGGCAAACGCTGTCCAAATATCAACAGTGACCTTTCAGGAATATTCGAGAGAACAGCAGAGCCAGTGCAGAACACCTCTAATGAGGAGTAAGTATACTGTAGGCACTCGCTGCCCGAGTACTTTTTCTTCATGAAACATTGTTCTATTGGATTTAATGAAAACGCACAGCCTAATTATTGGAAAGATGACGTGTATCTTATGTAAATCAATGTGCCCTTACTTAATGCCATTGAGAAATTGTAAAGCATACACTGCATTTCAACGTGTGTCCAGTCTTTTGTGTAGCAGAAATGTCAGCATTGTTACAGCAGAGGCTTTAATGTCAGCTCCACTGAAGAAGACAATGAATGTGTCTGTGTGAGTGTGATTTTACAGCTTTGTTTGTAGATGAATGTGTATCTGCTCTGGCATACAGTAGTTAAAGGTCTGCTTCCTGCTTTGTCTCGCTGAAAATGTTTCAGTTATTTAAAGACAGTTCAATAGTTTCCCCTCTGTCCAAAGTGAAAAAGCACCTCTAAAGCCTACACGTTACAGCTTAACAAGAATAGTAAAAACAATGTAACTAGTGAGTTTGGTACAGCTGACCCTTCCTAAGACCCGCCCCCTTTTTACTCCAATAACAGTTGAGAAAGCCTCGGTCGGTCAACTTTCTCCTTTTCAACAAAAAAAGACACAAATTTTTGAAGATAGTTAAAAGATTTAAGCCATAGTTAGTTTTCTAATCTTAGCAAACCAAACTTTGGCTTTATTGTAACCAGTGCCAAGTATTTTAAACAAATACAGTTTATAGTGTGTTTTACCTCGTTCTCCAGTCCGTAGTCCTGCACCAGGCGGATGTAGAGGGTCGGCGTCCAGCCCTTGGCTCCCTCGAGCATCAGACCCACGGTCTTGCAGGGTTCGGATGAGAGGTTGTGGGCTTTGACGGCTGCATCCAAAGTCTCCTCAGCCATGGACCTGTAGGTGGTCCACTTCCCACCTGGACAAACGAAATTTGCACTTTAATACGGTTAACAACAAGCTTTTAGATTCACAAGCCAACCCTAGAGGCTAACTGACCGGCGATGGTGACCAGTCCAGTGTCACTGATGCTGACGATGTGGTTCCTGCAGATGGACTGAGTGTCTTTGGAGTTGGGGTCGGTCACCAGGGGACGGATGCCGCTCCACGCCGCCAACACGTCTCCTCGACGCACTGCAGACGACACACACAGTCACACTTCAGCGGAGGTACCTCCCTTTGAACCTGATGTATTTGTGCTCAACCAGAACAATGGTGGTTCTTGGTATCTTGGACTAATATAAGCAGCTCCGTCTCTCCTGCAAGCCCACGACGTGTAACGTTATATACATCATATTATACTTCAATAAATTAACACAATATCCACAACAGCCAAAACTGATAAAACCTGCTTTAATTTCCCTTTTCAGAGTATTCTTATTCTTATTTTTCACGAGTTTCCTTGTTTTCTCAAATAGTTTGTTCTGTGTTGGGAACTTTGTGATATTGAGTTATACAAATACACATTTATTTCACTCTAGCTTATGTTTGCTATTACTACTATTAGACTGCTCGGCACACTCTGCCTCAGGTAAAACACATCCTACAGTGCAAGAAGAAACACATTAGCATTGCTAGAAAAACAAGAAAAGATAGAAATATAGTCACTTTCTATCTAGCCTCTGTTCCACTAGCTTCTGTAACTCAGTGTAATCTCTCATATAATGTTCTTTTATCTGTGTTTCTGGAAAAAATGGGGTAAAAAGATAAAGATAAATCAGCTCCACTACTGCACACTTACAAAACGATTACTTTTTTGAGCAAGAAATCACTAAAACTCTTCTGTAAAGTCGTTTTCCTGATTTTTTTTTTTAGCTGCAATCTCTGCTGTCTAAAAGCTCCTCTCTGACCAAGTTACTGTCTTATTACTTGTGTCTTATGTCTGCAGTTAATGGAAAAATGGAGTGAGAACCAGACTGCAGTGGACCACAGGACATAGGCTCCGTTCCAGGTCAGGATTTTTAGATATTTTAAAAATTTTTAAAAGGCCAATGGGATTTGGAATGAAGATTTCTTACATTTCAGTTCAGCTCTTTATAGACAATCTGACCAACCACACTGTTTGATGAGCAACAAAATGGGCTTAAAGAAATCAATAAATCAAAAATAATACCAAAGAAAAGCCCTATACAAGAGAAGACTCCCGTACCTTCTACGTCAGGGCTGAGGTAGTTGCGGACCTCACTCAGGATGAAATTGATGTCGTCCTCCCCCGGGATTGGGTGGGCCGTCACGTTGGTGGGCGTGTCGGTCGTCCCGGCGATAGTCATCTTCTCCCAGGGCAGGAAGAAGATGACACGTCCGTCGCTTGTCGCCGGATCGAGCAGACCCATGTTGTCAGGACTGTGGGGCAAAAGATACAGGAAGTGGGGTCATTATCGTCACGAGTACGAGTAGCAGAAGGAGTAGCTGAATAATAGATTTGTCTAATTTATTACTATCTTTCCAGTCTTTTCAGCGTTTTAGAGAGGAAGAGCAGGGGCACACAAATGGAGAAACACAGATACGGGGGAGGAAGAGGAGGTGTGGAGGGGGCAGATGGCGGTGGGAGGAAGACGAGAGAAAGGGAGGAAGAGAATTAGGTGGTTGGCATTTTCTGCCGCTGTTCAAAGGGCTCGCGCTCCCTCGGGTTTCGCTCAATAAGCTTTCGCTGAACTTTAAAAACCCCGACTTCAACAAAACCACTCTATTGCTTTGCTGTATCTTAACCAGAGAAGATTGCACTGTGCATGTAGGTATAGGTCAGCTAATAGTTTAGCCAGCCTAGTATTTACATAAAAGAATGAGAAAACATTGTTTATGCATTTTAAATACCAAAAACCTGATAGGAAGTAAAAGAAACTAAAGGATATACTGTAATGGTGATGTGTGTACCTGTAGTAACCGGGGATGACGATGTGAACGCCGGCGCTGGGCTGGCAGATGTTTTGGGTCTCCTGGTTGTCCATCTTCCTCAGCGAGTCTGTGAACGGGCCGGTGGCGTTGATCACACACTTGGCCTTCACGTCAAACTCCTGTCCTGTGAGGGGAGAGCGATGGTGAGACACCTCAACTCGACAGCCAGAAAGAGTAACAAAACACTAACTCTTTTACATACGGGACAGTTTCAGTACAAGTAAAAAGTCAAACCGCACGCCTCACCTGTGATGACGTCCCTGCAGCGGGCGCCACACACCCTCTCCTTGCCGGTCTGTGGGTCGTTTGTCTTCAGCAGGCGGACCACCTCAGTGTAGTTGGCGACGGCGGCGCCGTAGCGGGCGGCGGTGAGGCCGATGGCCATGTTCATACGGGCGTCGTTGTGCTGCCCTGAAGGAGACAGAGAAGAAGAAAGGTTGGTTTAGATTTACATCAATGTGCACAAAAGTAAATGAAACTCTGTTTCTCGAACCATTTCTAGGTTATAATTCCAATTATTCCAGATAATATCAAAAAGTGTTCTCTCTCAATGTGATAATATGTGTAATATCACACTTTTGTATGTGCAAACTAGCAGTGACAAAATAAAGCTAAAGCAGGGCTGCAATAAGCAATATCCAAACTGCAGAAGTTATATAACAAACAGCATTATAATAAGGTACTGTAGTCCTGCAGCGATGCC